AAAGCTCTTTTACAGTAATTTGGAAGGCCCAAAATGCCACATTTATTAAATGTTACAAAACTAATAAAATAAAACATTAAATATGCAATCTTAAGTCATGACAATAAATAAAGTAAATTAAATATGTACTATACAAGATAATTGAGCTATTACTCAACTTTCCAATGCCTTTCCTTATGCTCTATCAGATTTCTCTCTTGAAAATTATAAGAGATAACATATGAAATATAACATCTTAATAACAAATGGATATTTTAATTATACCAACAAACCGATACAAATTTATTTCACAAATCATATATATATAGGTATTTTTGCAATTTGTTTTGCAAAACTAATTTCACAACCATAAGAATGCATTTTTCCAACAAATAATAAATTTTATTGATTTAAAATAATCAAACAAGTGTTGCAAGCCTGACCTATCTTTATAGCCCACCGTATCCACCTTATACCTCTGGTTGAAGCTTAAACTGAGAATACACTTGACCAAAAGTGCATTGCCTATAAAACTATCTCTCTTTTTAAAATGAGGTGCTCAATGTCCCACAATCTCTAATCAAGGAAAGGGGCGCTGGCAAAAGACCATTCATCGTGCACAGAGTAGAGATGTATCACATGGCATTAATCAAGTCATAATTTCTCATCACATGTATTGTAAATCAAAATAGTTCACCTTATACTCCCTACAAATACATTACATTCACAAGGTCAAAACACACAACATGCTTGAAAAGAGCCACACATATTTCTTATACAATTTCAAATATTTGCAAGTATGCTTAAAAGATTCGAGTAGTCATTTATCATGTCTCATCAAATTTAAATTCAACACATTAGTATGCTTAAAAATAATCAAAATAATAGACACACACACACATTTAAGGAAATTACACAAGCCATGCTAGAAATGTTTAAACACATATTTCAATTTAGATCCAAACAACCAAATAAACCCTCAATGGGCACAGTCGTTCTCATACAATTCATATATAGATATAAAAATAAATAGCTTCTAAGTATATGAAAGAATAAAATGTTGTCCCTCCTTTTCCAAGCTAAATATATATAGCATATTTCCAGAACTGTTCACTTGACCACCAACATGAACACTAGTCTACAGAAATTGATAATAATAAATATAATTATTTAACAAGTGTCAATAATTTACTTTATCCAAAAATTAACTTCTTATTCTTTAATTTCAATTAATTTTATAAATTTTATCCATTTTTTACCTCTATAAATTAAATAAAACTCCTTATGTTCAAATTTTTCCAAAAAGACTTAAAATTTTCCTCTAAAGTTTATCCTCCAATTTTTCAAATTTATATATTTAACTCAAATCCTTATATTCAGCTGTTTTATAAATAAATTTAGCCTCTAGAGAAAATTTCTAGCATTATTAGATCATAAATAAATATTTATTTATTATTATAAGTCTCTCATAATATTAAAAACTATTATAGAGTCCTCGAAAATAAATTATTTGGACAAAATTAATGCATATAGACTCTTAATCTATCATTTTTAGCTCTTTTAATAGCACAATAATCAATAAGACACCTTCACTAATTTAAAATCTATCTAGCTCTAAATTTCTTTTCCTTACCCGATCCCAAAAAATATTAAAAAAAGAAGAAGGAAACCTAGATCATTTACCTAATTTTTATATGCCTAAGAAAAGATGAATAGATTTTGAGACTCAACAGTATCAAAATAAAATTGGGAGAATTTTAGTTAAAGATTAGGGAAAAAATTTAATTTTAGGTGGGTCTAAAAACATTCTAAATTTCAGCTCACTCAATCTAAGGGAGAAAAGTTAAAAGAATTTTGATAGTGAAAAGATTAAAATGTCCTTCACTTATTATGCAGAATCAATAATTGTTAATTTTCTTACTCCACTTGTTAATTTATAAATATAAGTTGTAAATTACATAAGTTGACATGTCAATAATTATATAATACTTCATATTAGTTTTTCAATCATAAGTAGCAACTATCAATTTTATTAAATTGCTAACCTTACTTGTTAATATACTAACATCAGTTGTAAATTACTAACAGATCTTGTAATTTATTGTAAATTTTTGACAAGTCTTATACTTTATAATTGATATTAATAAATTAATAAGTAACGTTATTAAACTAACAACTAACGTTACTGATTGTTTAACAAACAGATATAATTCACATGTGATATTGGATAAATTAACAAGTACAATAAAAAATTAACAATTAGTGATTCTATAAACACATGAATGGTATTTTATTCTTTTCACTATCGAAATTATTTTAACTTTTTTATCCTAAACTGAATTGAAATTTCATAATATTTTTAAATCCATTTAAAATTAAAACTTTTCTCTAATTTTTAGCTGAAATTCTCCTAAAAAAATGCCCGCGCTGTCACTCCTTCGCTCGCCCTGTGATCTGATTCTTGCTATTTTGTGAACGCCGCTGACAAACAAAATAACAGAATGCCGTCTGTGAAGGGACAAGAGCACATAATATCCTAGAGTCAATGAAATTAAAACGTTTTTCTCGTGTTATATTATATAATCTGTTTTTTTTTATCTTTATGTGTGTGTATTATATAAAAAAATAATTATTTATATTCATATTAAAATTTCCTCCAACCTCTAAAAGTTTAATGTCTGTGCTAAATTTATGTATTTTATGTAATTAAATTTTTAATTAATTTTATTATGGTAAATTAAAATATTAATTTTTTTCTATAATCTCATCTAACCTTATAAATTTTTTCCTTAAAATATATTTTTAATTTTTTTGAGTAAAATATCATTACTCAACTAATTATATTGTAAAATAAAATTAGGATGCTACACAACCCGAATGATCTAATATAATTTCAGTTGACTCCCAAAACTTTAAAATTTCATTGCACATTTGCAAGATTGAAATAAAATTAAAAAGTTAACTCAAATGATTTTATTGCCCATGATAAAACTAGGCGCATAAATAATTTGTATAAGAAAATGAATAAATTAATATATAGAAAATGAACAATTAAAGTAGGTGGAATGAGAGTTATAAATTTTATCTGTATTAATTGTTCATTTTTCATATAACAATTATTCATTTTTTCTATATGAGTTGTTCATGTATCTAGTTTTATCAGGAATAATAAAGTCATTTAATTTATTTCTTTAATTTCATTCTAGTTCCCTAAATGTGCAGTGAAATTTTATAGTTTTAGGAACTGACTGAAATTATATTTGGTTAAGAGGGGTTGATTGAAATTTTTTCATTAAAAAAAAATGCCGAATGAGACAACAAAATTAAGACAAATTTAGATATGGGATGTAATACATGTTATACGAGATCATCACGAGAACTTATCGTGTCATACTATACAGTGAACATTATCGCATCAATCATATAGTATTCCAAATAAGACCTGCTCGGTTTTTGTTTTTAAAAACTGTTATGTCAATTAAGATAAAATAAAATACAATTTTTTTTGATTATGTCAATTAAAAAATTTTTAAAATTAAAAAATGACTGATAATTATGGTTATAAATAATTAATAATAGTGATTAATAATAAAAATTAATCAAAGTGAGTATAATTTTTAATTATTAAATGTAATGTATTTTAAAAACAAGAAAAATAAAATGAAAACAACTTAAAGTTGTTTTTATTTTTTTTTAAAAACAAAAAATGAATTTTTTTTAAAACAACTAAATGATAAACATTCATCTAAACAAATTTTGAAATTTTTCTGTTTTTCCAAAAAACAAACATGCCCATAATATTCCATTTACTCTAACATGATTTAAGTGATGTAAAGTGTTTACATTGAAGTTAACTTTCTTTTCTTGTCTTTTTTTTTTTTTTGCATAAATCTAGTATTACATTTAAGAGAAATATTTAGATAGACCTGATACACCACGTCATTTGTGATATGTTAAATTAAAATATTTTAAATAATTTAAATAAAATCTTATATGATATTTTTTAAATTGATTTCATTTTATAATAAAATACATATTTAATTTATTATCTTTTCTCTCTTTACTATCATTAGTATCAGACCAATTTTCATTTAATGCCATTTAAATATCTTGTTTTAATTGCAAAGATCACAAATGACTTAATGCATTTGATCTATTCAAATATTTCTCTTACATTTGGTTCACTTATATTAGAGCATATAATTTTCTTTTCGATAAATTTTGGATTTTCAGCAAAGACAAGCAATTCATATTCACCAGTAGCAAGCTACAAAATTTTGTTAAAACATCTCGGCAAATGGTCTGGAATGCAGTATTGAGTGAGACAAAGCACCAAAAAAAAAAAAGCAAAATTCTTTAGATAAGATCTCAAATTGGGGCTTTAAAAATAAAAAGAATATATTAAAAGAAAATTTTCAATTGGGATCTTAGTCCTTAGACAGCTCCAAATGAAATGTAAATAAAACAATAACACTAATTATAAGATAATTTATTTATTATTAGTAGAAGAAAGTCCTCCTCAGGGCCTCAGGGGCCAATGCATTAAAGCTTATTTGACGGTTAGAATTATTCAAGAAGCATTAAACATGAGCCGGACGTTACGGCACCTTATAAATCAACCAACCTGGACGTTGAAAATAAAGCCCCAACTCTATTTTCTTAATAATAAATTAGCAAACTTATTTTTTACCCTTTGCTAATGCTACCTTGTCTGACGAACATTTCGACTTTCAATTCATTCATTCCCTTATCCACATTATTTGGAAAAAAAAAAATCACCAAAGGACGTTGCTCCTTAATTATTATTTTAAAAATTAAATTAGAAATTTTCATCATTACCATAGTCTACCCAGGGCCCGTCCATGTCGTATTGGCTTTTTAATCGTGGATCATATCCGAGCGTTTCCAATCATTTTCTTAGCAAAGTCGGAACCGCGTGGGCATGACAGACGGAGCAGACCAATGACTCTTCCCCATAATGTGGCGAGGTGAGCGCCACTTGCCTTTTTATAACGCCTCAAGCACTTCTGACTTGAGTCTTGAAACGCTGCCCCTTTCTCTCTCGTTTTTCATATGAACAAAATGTCCAACTTCTTTGTTCTCCTTTGTCTCCTCTTCTTTGCTGCTTCTGGCTTTGTTACTGGATCTGTCGAGAACAAGATTCGCATATACGAGCTCAAGAAAGGCGATGTTTCCTTGAAGGTCACTAACTGGGGTGCTTCCATTCTGTCTCTGGTGCTTCCTGATAAGAACGGTATGTCCTCTGTTCAATTCAAATCTTCAAAAGCTTGGGTTTTTCATCTAATTTTGCAACTTACTCTGTGATCTGTCTTCAGGAAAGCTGGGCGATATTGTTCTTGAATATTATTCCATCAAGGATTACACTGTATGTTCTCTTCCTCTGTGATTTCTCTTCGTTTCTATTTCCTGATGCTTTGAGTTGTTTTTCGGGGTTAATAACAATGCGAGTGCAAACACCGAAATTATGCAGACGAACACAACGAACTTTGGTGCTACTGTCGGTCGGGTTGCTAATAGAATTAGAGGAGCTCAGTTTACTCTTAATGGAACTGTTTACAAACTAGTTGCTAACAGTGGAAACAATACAATTCATGGTATGTGTAGATTGTTGTCCTTCCTCTTCACAAGTACATAAGTTACCCTGATTGTTTGGTTTATTTGGTCCCCATATCTCATAGACATACCGAAAAATGACTAGGTGGAGCCAGAGGTTTTGCTGATGTTGTCTGGAATGTGGAAAGGTATCAAAGAGATGGTAACAGTCCAAGCATCACATTTAGCTACCACAGCGTTGATGGTGAACAAGGTAAATTCAGCTACGGTGCTTTACTTTGAATCCCACGTCACTGTCAAGATATGGAACTCTGTGAAAAATGCATGTGATTTGAATCCAAAGAATTGGTCTTGTGATAAAGGCGAAAGCACCGAGAACTTTCTTGTAAATCCTCTAATACCAAAAGGGGTACAAGAGTGCTAGTATAAACCATGAAGATAAACTTTTCTGTGACTCAAATGAAATATGAATATCATGTGATCTGTATTTGAATGGTGTTGCAGGATTTCCTGGTGACCTCATAGCAACAGCAAACTACACTCTACTTGGGAAAGACCAATTGAGCATAACTATGAAAGCGAGAGCCTTAAACAAGGCCACACCAGTGAACCTGGTGAACCACGTGTTTTGGAACTTGGGGAATCATAACAGTGGCGATATTCTGGGCGATGTGGTGCAGATATTTGGATCCAAAATCACAGCTGTTGATAGCAAAAACATTCCCACTGGAGAATTCACATCAGTGAAAGGAACCCCGTATGATTTCCTGGAACCACGCACTGTTGGAAGCAGGATCAACCAGTTGCCTAAAGGTTATGACATCAATTACGTGCTTGATGGAGAAAATGGGAAAATGAAGATGGCAGCCAAAGTGCATGATAGCAAGTCTGGGAGAATGATGAAGCTTTTCACGAATGCTCCTGGTGTGCAGTTTTTTACTGCTAATAGCCTCAAGGACGTGAAAGGGAAAGGCGGGTTTGTGTATCAAGCTCATGCAGGACTGTGTTTGGAGACTCAAGCCTTCCCTGACTCAGTGAATCACCCTAATTTTCCTTCAACTATTGTGACCCCAGAAAAGCCTTACCGGCATTACATGCTCTTTAAGTTTTCCACCAAGCCTCCCTCAGCCGTTTCTACATGACTTGGCCTTTGAACATTCTCTCCTTCCTTGTGTAACTTGCTAATCAGTGTACTAAGCATTCAGCTCCTGATCAGTTCACCAAAATTGTGGTTCTTCAAAATGAATAATAAGAAACTATTTTGCGGTTATTTCCTAAGGTGAATGACAATGCTACATTGTGGTTGTAGAACTGGTGGCGTTTCATCAGTTTCAAACTGTTGCGTTAACTTAAAACTTGCTTTATATAAAGAGGCATCTGTGGCTCGCAGCTCCAATTCTAAATAATGCCACTTGATTATGGAATATTCTGCATTAAGATAACTTCAAATAACTCTGAAATATATCTTTGAGTTATCGAAATCACAGCTCTTTTCTACTTATTAATTATTAATGTGTACATTTTATGATATTTCATATAACGTCATAATCAATTGCTACGATATAATTAAAATCATGTGAAAATCACATTCATCAATTCCTTCATTAAAAATTACAAGAAAATTAATATTAACATTTTGAAATAAAATAAAAGATCTGAAATTTTTACCCAAAAAACAATAATCAGCATTTAAAAAAAAAGAGAGAGCTATCCATATTTTGGCATACAAAATTACTCCCTCAGTAAAGAATATAAGGCATTTTTTAAAGGGTTAAATGTTAAAAAATATAAGACATTTTAGGGTCTGTTTGGTTTTATTACGTTTCACATTCAAAAAGTAAAATTTCACTTTTAGAATGTTAAAAATTGTTTAAGTAAAACATTTTAAAAAAAAGCACATTGTAAAAGCATATCTAAATATTGACTAAAAATGAATTTGAGAAATATAACTATTTGTAGCTTTTAAAAAGTAAATTTAAAAAATAGAATGTTATTTAATCGTACTATCTAAGTTTAATCTCTTATATTTTTATTGAAAAAATAGTTAATTATTAAAAATATAATTATCATTTTAATAATAATAATTAGGCATCAAGTTTTAGCATTATAAATTGAATAATTAATCATGTTAATTTGTAGCATTAATATATAATAAAAATTATAAATATTTATCACATTTTTAAAATTATAAATTTAAAAATTATAAATAACTAGAGATCAAGTTTTTAATATTATAGATCAAATTTTATATTATTTAAAATTTGTATCATATTTTTCAAATATTTTAAATATATTATATTTGTATAATAAAAATTATAAATTATCATAAATTAATATTATTTTTAGTAATTATACATTCAAAGGTACATTTTACTATCATAATCCAAACAACTTTCAGTATATCAAATTAATTTTTTAAAAAATATATCTAAACACAAATTTCATTACAATAATTTATTTTCATTAAATTAACTTTTTTTAAATAAACTTTTATCAAATAGACTTTTGACAAAATAAAAACTAAACACATACTTAATATCTTAAGGTGTAATTATTATATTTTTTTAAAAATATCCCTAATGAATAAGTCATTTTATTTTTTTAGAGTAAAATATTATATAAAATAGAGATAAATATAAAAAATAATATTAATTTAAAAATAAATAACTATTTTATTAAAATAAAATTTGATTAAAAATATTTTATATTTTTTTAATAGAAAAGGTATAATAAAGTTCTAATAAGATTTTCTTACCCTCCCACACCACATCACATGGGAGATAAAATGACTAAAAAAAAATTCTAATGATACAATACTAAATTAATTTTTTTTTAACTATACATTCTTTGATATCTAAATTAAAAAATAAATCTAAATAAAAAATAAAAAAAATTCCATTTTTTTTTTAAATAACTATGCGGATTGAAGTGAAAACCATTAAACTACCAGGGTGTGCTACAGTGACAGTGAGGCCCGTTTTCTGTTGCTGATGTGGAAGCCTATCACTGGTCAATGGTCATTGACAAACGGAGATGAGCGAACCGACGATCCGAATCCCTCATCGGTGAACAACACCGCCGCAGAGGATGTCGACGCTCTGGAATCCAGTCATTAGCTTCCAGAGTCAACTGCCTTCCTTCACTTCAACTCCAGGTTCGCTCCTTGCGCCTCTCATGCTTGTACGATTCTTGACTATAACAAGGGCATAATCAGTTTTGTTCACATTGATGGTTATCAGCAAAAAATTGGAGCATAAGTGGCGGAAACCCTTGGTACAACTTCGATTCATTGAGTTCTATTCGTTCTGAGAAAACCCAGTTGCGATATAATCGTTGTTTGTCAATGACTTCTTCCCCTGAGACGTCTTTTTTGGGCACTGGTAAAAAATCGAAGAGAGTATGGATTTGGACGAAAAACAAGCAGGTCATGACGGCTGCCGTCGAGAGAGGATGGGATACTTTCATTTTCTCGCCGCAGCATCGACATCTTGCTACTGACTGGTCGTGTATGTTCTCTGAGTTTTTATTATTTCGTTTCGTTATCTAGAATGGCGAACTCCTCCCCCTCATTTGCTATTTTGGGTCTCATGATCATGTCAATGAAGCAGAGTGTAGTGTGTTGAATACCTAAATTTTTTTCATGATCGGAACAGCTATTGCGGTAATATGCCCTCTCTTTATCGGCGAGGGAGAGATTTTGGATGGCCAGCGTAACAGAGTTGCTACGGTTTTTGATGTTTCAACTCCTGAAGAGTTAGAGCGACTTAGGCCTGAGGACGAGCTGGCAGAAAATATTGCGGTCAACTTGTTAGATTGGCAGGTATGCCGATCGCACTCTGCGAGAATATTAATCATGTTGAACTTTCATTTCATGTCAACCGTCGATTATCTTTGGAGATAACTGTCTGCTTTGCGTCAAGATTAACTTGTCTATCATAACGATGAGGTGTCGCTGAAATGGGATATTTTGTTAGGCCATGCTAGTTCTATCTCATGGTTTTACCGAGCTGTAAGATCTAAGTTATAAATCGTCATTTGCAATCAATAATTTGTCGATGTGTTCTATAACTTTGGCAATTTGAATTTGTTTGTCTTATGTAAATTATGTTTATAGACTCTGATCGCCTTTCGTAAATCTTAAACTGTAGCATGATCTGATTTCCAAATCATGTTAGCCGCATCACGTATATCAACTGTTGTCTTTTCTCCCTTGACATTGTCTGATTTCAATTTGATGCAACAAAAGTTTGGTCTGTCTTTTAAAGGCATAATAATCATTATCCTTAGATAATTGGCATTTATAATTATAAAATGCTAATTGTCTTTGTCTGCCATTGCATAGGTAATACCAGCAGAAAATATAATTGCAGCATTCCAAAGCAGCCAAAAGACAGTGTTTGCCATCTCCAATAATCCATCTGAAGCTCAAATCTTTCTTGAGGTATATAATTTGACTAATAAATATTCAAAACTTTCAATTGGTCGAAGCTCAGAGAGCTGGACATAGTTATCTGTAATACTCTTTGACAGCTAACTTTCATTTTGCAATTGCCCCTTTGGATTTTGTAGGCGCTGGAACAAGGGCTAGGTGGCATAGTTCTGAAAGTAGAAGACGTTGAACCTCTTCTTCAGTTAAAGGTAAATCTGTAGCTGGGTGAAACCTCTTATAGTAATGAGGCTTGGCCTCTTATTTTGCTCTGAAACTTTCAGGAATATTTTGACAGAAGAAAAGAAGAGAGTAATCTGCTAAACTTGACCAAAGCCAGTGTCACACGTGTCCATGTTGCTGGACTGGGTGACCGTGTTTGTGTTGATCTCTGTAGCCTTATGAGACCTGGTGAAGGACTTTTGGTACGCGTCCAATTTCTATTAATAATTATTGCTGAGCTAATTTAGTAAAATTGCCATTCTTTTATGCAAGTGCCTTTCATAGGTTGGATCTTTTGCTCGAGGATTGTTTCTTGTCCACTCAGAATGTCTGGAATCAAATTACATTGCAAGCAGGCCTTTCCGGGTGAATGCAGTATGTTCTATACTCGAGTCTTCTCAAGACTGCTTAAAATTCGTATGTTCATAGTCAATGACCTTTGGATACATTTGCTTCTCCTATCATCAGAGATTCAAAGCAAACGGGTGTAGTTTGAGATCAAATATCAAAGGTTTACATGGTGATGTGTATACTTTTCACCTTCTAGCATGAATCAAACTTTGTAAGCTGGTCAACAATGCTCATAACTTGTGTCTCGGTGTATATGTATGTGTACAGCTCTATCTAAAAATGAAATAATGAAATGTTGCTATTGAATGTTGAGCAGTTTGCTAAACCTGGGTTTGTCTTCTTCTCAAGCCTGACTCTGGCCAAATTTTCAGAATGCAACTATTGATCACCTTCGTTCTTTGTTAATTTTACTATGATTCATATCTTAGAGGTCCAATTTCAACTATTCAGCGATGTACGCAAAACTTGTTTTCTAATAGGTGACCCTTTCTGACTTCCATCTCCTAACTTCATTCCTTTATTTATAGCCTATCCACGTGCCTGGGAAGTGAAAAATTATGGTTTTTTCTTATTTCTCTCTTGCATTCAAATGTTTTGGAAATCCAAATTTTATTGTTAATTTTATGGTCAAGAAAAGTTGCGGTGAACTTTTTAGGAAATTATTGGTTAGTCACCGTGATCAATTTTTGAATAACTACACAAACCGTATTGACCAAGTGCATTTCATTTCATAACAGGGACCTGTACATGCCTATGTTGCTGTTCCAGGAGGGAAAACATGCTATCTGTCAGAATTAAAGGCGGGAAAAGAAGTGATAGTGGTTAATCAGCTGGGCCAACCACGAATTGCAATTGTTGGGCGAGTCAAGATTGAGACAAGACAATTAATTCTTGTGGAGGCCAAGGTTTGTGCATGAACATGGAAATACTTGATAAAACTGTTTCTGCAAATGAGTAGACAGGAACTTCTGCAAGTAATATTGTTCCTTTTGCAGAGCCATTCTGATGACCAGACTATCTACAGCATCTTTCTGCAGAATGCAGAAACAGTGGCCTTAGTCGGTCCCCCCGAAGGTAATAATTTTATTCACTGTTTCCTGCAAGTTTGAGTTATTTCTCTGCGAAGCTTTACTTGTGAATTATTTTCAGGAAATACAGAATCGAAAACAGCTGTTCCTGTGACCTCTCTTAAAGTCGGAGATGAAGTTTTGTTGAGAATACAAGGTGGGGCTCGACATACAGGAATTGAAATTCAAGAATTTATTGTCGAGAACTGAATTCTTAACGCTATATATTTATATGTTAAATGTCCCAAATCCAAAACCCCATCTCCCGTCATTGTCAAGGAGACAACCAAGTTTCCAATTCCTCAATTTTAAAATCTATAAAATCTGGAGATGTGAGACTTTGATGCATGTAGGATTGCGAAATAATTGCAACTGGAAAAATTAATTGCGAAATAGTTGCAGACAAGGGACGCTGTGGTGGAGGAGCAAATTTTGTGGGTTAGATGTAAATTGGCGAGCGTATTGTTTTGTGAGGTCTGAAGCGAACAACGAGGCAACGAGTGGACCGAAGCCTCCCCTCGGCAACATGGGTATTGCTCACCATCGCGCTACATGTCAAGGGCATTTCGGGCATTTTGAATAGATTCCCTCTCTGGAATCCTCATTCCTCCCACCTATGGAATGGGTTTTCATGGGAGATTGGTCTGGCCAACCAAATAGATTGAAAGCAAGATTACCATTCATTGGCCATCTATTTTAGTAAGCAAATGGGCGGTTTTAATTGGCGGGAATTAATGGATTTAACCAAGTTAACATACCTCGACGTGAAAGTCCAAGAAATTAGACGATTAAAATGATCGTTCCATTGATTTAACGGCCAGGCTACATGAACATTGTGTGATAAGCCAACAGCTTGGTAACTCATGTAAGTTCTGACTAGTTCAGTTGACCTAACTTGACTGGAAAAAGGAAATAAGGAGTTTACGATTTGGGGAGTCAAATTTAAGATCTTGTAACTTTTTCTGAGATGAAACGTGTGATTTACTTAAAAAAAAAAAGAATAATATATCAAAACGATTGATGATTTATGTTATATTATGAATTAAATTTTAGTTGATGAGATTTTTCATGTTCAATTTTTGATGAAGGGATGTTGAAGAGCTCTTTTAATCCTTGTAAAAAAAGTAACAATGCCATAAATGTTGTTTTTTTTTTTGGAATACAAAGCCATGGTATTTTGTGTAAGAAAGAGTGATTAAGACATGCTAGAAATCATACAATTTATATACTTAGAGGGTGGTTTGTCAAAAATTATAATATTAAAATTCTCATTGAAATTGTGTTGGGTTAGCCAATTTGTATATCTATTAACTTTTCTATACACATGTTTGAAGTGATTGTCTAATTTCTTATAGTAAGATTTTAATTTTATTCACTATGTTTGTAAAGGGATGATTCAAAGTGAGGTCACTTTAAATGAATATAAAAACTTTAAGAGAATCTAAGTAGATGTTGATTTTGGAGAAATTACACATCCAACATAGGTTGATGTCTTTGAAGAAATCCAAAAGATCAGCCACATATCTTGGATAATAGCTAAGGTATAAAATTGGCAAAATGTGGTCTAAATACAACCGAGCTTAAGGTGGCGTTAAAACATAGACTACGACCAACAAAATGATGACATGTGGTATGTCCACGTAAGCACCTCCTTGTTTGAAGAAAGGGTTAAGAGAAGAGGGGAGTGAAAATATATTATGCTTTAACAGTTAACCAAACAAACGAAGGAATTTCCCCTATATTTTTTAAATCAAAGAAGTGGAGGGAAAATTACAAATCCAAGTTAAATACTGTAATATTTTAAACTCTTGCGCGTCCATTCTGTTGAAATGATTGAGTTCCCCCCCCCCCCCCAAAAAAAAGAAATAATTGAGATAAGATTTTATTAAATAATTAACGAAAAATAAAGTGGGGTAATCAATGAGCTCTCTCCATCAGGTCATGTCATTCATGCCCTTTAATCTCCAATTATTGATAAACGCATCAACATCTGATTCTGTGAGATATATATTTATATACTTATCTACATCTCGCCACTTGATACTGTCCTCAGTCCTCACACTTGTCAGTCCATCCGCGACTGTTTCTGCTCCCATTGAATCTGCGTTTGACTTTTTCTCAGCGCAGGAAGCATGACAAGAGTTCTCGATATGCCACAATTGACTGCTTTAATTCCAATATCTACCACCTTGTTCAAAATTATAAAAACGGTGATTCAGAGGGGATCAAGTTTATTTGAATTAAATATAAAATATTTTTTTTATAAAAATTTATATAGTTAAGCCTCACCTTAATTCTTTGATTAAATTCAGGCTTGATTAAAATTATTAACTTTACATATATATAGAGTTGAAAATTCTAACAGTTAGATTTATCCAAGTCAAACTTATTCGGATCAAATTTAAAATATTTTACTTTCTTAAAAAAGTTCATATAATCAAATCTAACTTAACTTTTTTTAAGCTAGTTCAGGTTGTCCCATCAAACTTAACCGAATTATGACTTTATGAAAAAATAAAAGTAAAAGATTTTGATTAAAAAAATAGTCAAATATCTTCCTCTCATTGATTTCATGGTGAAACTGATATATAGGAGATACTTTTTTAATTTTATTTATAAAGTTATTTTTAATATATTCTATCAATATTAAAAAAAATTTTAAAATTTGTTAATTATATCTTAAAATTTACTAAATTTTTAATTTTAACTCTATTAAATACACATACATATTTTTTTACAACATTCAATGGAGTGTAAAATAAAAAATTTATAATAAAAATTTAATAATATAATTTATAAATGAGATAAAAAAATTTTTTTTCTATCCTATAAATAGGACGAGAGAGAGCATACTTTATAGCTTCAGTCCATACAAATAATTACTATAAACATGCCAAAGTAGTGAAACAGCTTAAAGGATTAACATTTTTGTATCAGACTGCCAAATGATTTGAATTAATAGACTGTCACTGGCTCGGGTTCCTTGGGTATTTGCTAGTGCTATAGTAGTTAGTTATATTCTCTCTATTTGAGTCTTGGTCGAACCGATTGGTTTGGATTTTAAGTTCAGTTAGCATGAAAACCATTTGGAGGGTGGGTCATTTTAAACTGATAGTCAGATTGAGAATTAGATTTGTTTTCAAAACTTGACTATTAAAAATCATTTTTTTTCTCTTTTTTCCCTCATTTTTTATCAAACTTTTTTTTAACAAAATGACCAATTTTTTTAATCTTTGATATTATATTGCATCATGTGACTTATTAAGTTATGATAAACTTAAAATATATAGTTTTATTTTTAAGTTAAGTTGTAATTTTATATTTATTTTTATATTTAAATTATTATATATAAGTTTTTTTAATTTAACCGGTTGGACATGCGAACCATGAATTGCTAGTTTTTGATTCAATATCAAGTCTAATTTTAAAAACATTGCTAAAAATATATAATATTTGAGAAATTAAATATAAAAAAATATAAAACGTTTTTAGTATTTTAAAATATAGTTATTGTTTTTTTCCCAACAATTAACTACTATATTTCTTTTAAAATGAAAAATATTATCAATAAGGATAAATATAAAAAAATAGTTTAAATTTAGAAACAATTACTAATTTATTATTGGTAAGAATTGATTAAAAAAATCTTTTATTTTTTGGGAGAGGAGTATATATTACCCAATTCACTAGCACAGCCCACGGTGTGTGTGTATGGGCTCAACTTCAGTGCTAATTACTATGATAAAATCTCTGGTTAAAAAAAAATATGATGAATTTGAACCATCTAAATTAAAAGATTTATAGCATTATTATATATTTTTATTTTATATTTCTTAAAATAAAAATTTGTAAACATTATAAAATACTTCTAATGAATTTTTTTATTTTCAACCTGGTTTAAATTTAATTTAAAAGGTTAAATTTAATATTAAAATTTTAACTTATTGCGACATGCACTCGGCACATGTGCGCTGGACTGAACTCAAATTGCCACTCAGAATTCACACTTTCAGATATCGAATTTGAAACAAAATTGCAAACTAATTAAGCTGGACTGACGGACTTCGACTCATTGATGTACCGGATCCGTAAATTTTACTTAAACTCAACATGTAAAGCCATTAAAAAAATTAAGCACATATAAATGTTTTGTTAAACTGATGTCTCAAAAATTAATGAACTAAATTTACGTAGAAATTCCCCCAGATTGTTTTTTTTTTTTCCGCCAAATCCCTCCAGATATCAATCTTCCTCGACAAATTTCTTGAAAAGACAAAACCTACCGTTTCTAAGTTTAGTTAGATACATGATACGCATCATCAGGCAGACTGATCAGTGCACACTAGCCAAACCAAAATGTGCCCACAGCTAATAACGACGGATTTTTGGGTGTAATCTCCGTCCATAATATGTTAGTCGTAGTCTCATGGATTTCACTCCAAAATCACTAACGACTAGTAACATGCATGCATGTTATCAATAATTAATTACTAAATCTCATTGAGACGAAAACCATGAAAATGATATATGGTTTTGTTAGGATTAGTTAATCAGGTTGAGAACTGACGAGAAGTATATTATTATATTAGGTTGGGAAGCATGAAGCAATGAACTGCGCATCGCTGCGTTTGGTTAATTGGTGTCAAAGGACGCGTACTCTATTTAAACCGTATCCTGAATCAACTTTCTGGCAGAAACCTACAAACAAACTTTACTCAGTAACTCAGATAGACAGACGCGCACACAGGGAGAGGGAGGGAGGGGGCGAGAGAGAGATAGAGAGAGAGGAGAGAGAAGAGAGAGAGAGAGAGAGAGAAGAAGGGGTTTTTGCTTTGCCAGTGGCTCACATGGCATCTTCTTCAGCTCAGAGTTAAGTAGTTTCCCTTGTCACCTGTCAGACTTATATCGGCAAACGTCGCCTTCATCATTTCTCAGCGCCATCCTCTGCTAACTCCTAACCCTTTTATTATTACTGAATCAATGGATTTCGTACTCTTCACTTCACAATCCCCAGCCCCACACCTCTTTTATTTATTTCTTTTTTTTTTAACCTTATGATTCTTGCTTTATAAAGTCCCAGCCAGATTTGGCTCTTCATCCAATAACGACATGCTTCCTCCTTAGCTAATCTTTCTCCAAAGCCCCTTTTTCCCTTATATCATCTCATGATTCCAAAGCACCAACATGAAACTAGTATTTTTATATGTTTATACACTCGAACATTGCACGCACTGAATCCCATTTATGCCCCATACTTGATGCCAGAGCTGGAAATCCACTAAGGGGCACATGTGCCTTGACTTGAAGTTATCATTTTTTTTATATTTCTAATATAAGCATATATGTGT